AGCAGCACAGAGACCAGGATCTCACGGAGAGCCCTGGGTCTAGTACTAACAATGGGGAACAGGGGAGGCCCAGTTATCGATCACCTGATTGCTGGGATAGCCTCTGATTGGCTATTACAGTGATTATCCACTGTACATCCCACCCCTGTGTGTGGGTTTTTTTTCTCCTCTGAATGGAGAGAATGATATATTGTTTTCTCCCTGCCAGAGGAGAAAATGTAACCAAACAGAAGTGTGTAAAAAAAAAAAAAGGTAAAAAAGATAAAATAGCTGGATTGGGGTTTGATCTAGGTCAATTTCAGGGTTAGGCCAAGGTTAAAGGTCAGGGTCAGGTGGAAACAGGCGACTGCCTTGCTACACAACCCTGGTACCAAATCCCCCCCCCCATGTATTCTGGGCTCCACTTGTCCATCAGGGAGCCCGGGGCAGACATGGCGGGTACCAGCAGGTGGAGGAGAGCGTACCCATCATTGGTATAAGTGGGAGGAATAGTGCCCCATCATTGGTGTCAGTGGGAGGAATAGTGCCCCATCATCGGTATCAGTGGGAGGAATAGTGCCCCATCATTGGTGTCAGTGGGAGGAATAGTGCCCCATCATTGGTGTCAGTGGGAGGAATAGTGCCCCATCATCGGTATCAGTGGGAGGAATAGTGCCCCATCATTGGTGTCAGTGGGAGGAATAGTGCCCCATCATCGGTATCAGTGGGAGGAATAGTGCCCCATCATTGGTATCAGTGGGAGGAATAGTGCCACATCATTGGTATCAGTGGGAGGAATAGTGCCCCATCATTGATGTCAGTGGGAGGAATAGTGCCCCATCATTGGTATCAGTGGGAGGAATAGTGCCCTATCATTGATGTCAGTGGGAGGAATAGTGCCCTATCATTGATGTCAGTGGGAGGAATAGTGCCCCATCATTGGAGTCAGTGGGAGGAATAGTGCCCTATCATTGGTGTCAGTGGGAGGAATAGTGCCCCATCATTGGTGTCAGTGGGAGGAATAATGCCCCATCATTGATGTCAGTGGGAGGAATAGTGCCCCCTCATTGGTATTAGTGGGAGGAATAGTACCCCATAATTGGTATCAGTGGGAGGAATAGTGCGCCATCATTGGTGTCAGTGGGAGGAATAGTGCCCCCTCATTGGTATTAGTGGGAGGAATAGTGCCCCATCATTGGTATCAGTGGGAGGAATAGTGCCCCATCATTGGTTTCAGTGGGAGGAATAGTGCCCCATCATTGGTATCAGTGGGAGGAATAGTGCCCCCTCATTGGTATTAGTGGGAGGAATAGTGCCCCATCATTGGTGTCAGTGGGAGGAATAATGCCCCATCATTGGTGTCAGTGGGAGGAATAGTGCCCCCTCATTGGTATTAGTGGGAGGAATAGTGCCCCATCATTGGTATCAGTGGGAGGAATAGTGCCCCATCATTGGTTTCAGTGGGAGGAATAGTGCCCCATCATTGGTATCAGTGGGAGGAATAGTGCCCCATCATTGGTGTCAGTGGGAGGAATAGTGCCCCATCATTGGTGTCAGTGGGAGGAATAGTGCCCCATCATTGGTATCAGTGGGAGGAATAGTGCCCCATCATTGGTATCAGTGGGAAGAATAGTGCCCCATCATTGGTATCAATGGGAGGAATAGTGCCCCATCATTGGTGTCAGTAGTGGAATATTGCCCCATCATTGGTATCAATGGGAGGAATAGTGCCCCATCATTGGTGTCAGTAATGGAATAGTGCCCCATCATTGGTATCAATGGGATGAATAGTGTCCCATCACTAATATCAGTGGGAGGAATAGTACCCCATTGTTAGTGTCAGTGGGAGGAATTGTGGCTCATTGTTGGTATCAGTGGAAGAACAGTGCCCCATTGTTGGTGTCAGTGGAAGAACAGTGCCCCATTGTTGGTGTCAGTGGAAGAACAGTGCCCCATTGTTAGTGTCAGTGGAAGAACAGTGCCCCATTGTTGGTGTCAGTGGGAGGAATAGTGTTTTGCTCAGCTCAGTGGGAGGAAAAGTGCACAAAGGGCCAGATAAAGGCAAGCAAAAGGCCTCATCCAACCCCAAGAACACAGTTTGGAGACCCCTGCTCTAGGTGACAGGGGGAAGTAACATTGCAGCTGTCTTTGAGATACTAAGCAGCCCCGAATAATCAACCCCCGCTTATCTGATTACAGCCGAGCTAAGTTTCCAAAGCAGCCTACTCCACACTAGGAAGGTGCTACAAGAGGAAATCAGAAGGTTGATTTTGTGGAGTACATGGGACATTGTATACCATCAGGGCAGGAGCTTATATCCATTTTCTTGGTACATGTTCGTCAAGGAGGCCTTGTGGGCAAAGAGGAGTATTCTGTCTTTCTGAGACAATGTGTGCCGTACTTGTTCTGCCTTCCTTAAGAAGCTTGGTTGTGATCACCTGGGGTCAGCGTCTAATATGACAGAGACAATGCGTGCCTGACTGGCGAAGCGTTCAAGCAAAGTAATTCAAAGTGGGTGAGCGCTTGAAGGCTTTGGGAAGAACCTGGATCTACGGAAGGAACCTAACTTCGGGAACCTCATAAAGTCCAGATACGTGCGAGAAGAGCACCTGGTGGTGACCTAAGGAAGGAATGTATCTGCATACATCTCATAGAGATGGGGTGAGCAGTTGAAGGCTTTGGGAAGAACCTGGATCTACGGAAGCAACCAAACTTCAGGAACCTCATAAAGTCCAGATACATGCATGAGGAGCACCTGGTGATAATCTAAGGATGGAACGTATCTGCATGCATCTCATAGAAATGGGGAGAGCGCTTGAAGGTTTTGGGAAGAACCTGGATCTTCAGAAGGACCCTAACTTCAGGAAACTCAAAAAGTCCAGATATGTGCAAGAAGAGCAGCTGGTAGTGACCAAAGGAAGGAAGGCATCTGCATGCATCTCATAGAGATGGGGTGAGCGCCTGAAGGCTTTGGTAAGAACCTGGATCTACCTAAGGAACCTAACTTCTGGAACCTCAAAAAGTCCAGATACGTGCGAGAAGAGCACCTGGTGGTGACCTAAGGAAGGAATGTATCTGCATACATCTCATAAAGATGGGGTGAGTCGTTGAAGGCTTTGGGAAGAACCTGGATCTACGGAAGCAACCTAACTTCAGGAACCACATAAAGTCCAGATACGTGCGTGAGGAGCACCTGGTGATAACCTAAGGACGGAACGTACTTGCATGCATCTCATAGAGATGGGGTGAGCGCTTGAAGGCTTTGGGAAGAACCTGGATCTTCAGGAGGAACCTAACTTCAGGAAACTCAAAAAGGTTAGATACGTGCGAGAAGAGCAGCTGGTAGTGACCAAAGGAAGGAAGGCATCTGCATGCATCTCATAGAGATGGGGTGAGCGCTTAAAGGCTTTGGGAAGAACCTGGATCTACGAATGGAACCTAACTTCAGGAACCTCATAAAGTCCAGATACATGCGAGAAGAGCACCTGGTAGTGGTCTAAGGAAGGAACGTATGTGCATGAATCTCATAGAGATGGGGTGAGCACTTGAAGGCTTTGGAAGAACCTTGATCTACAGAAGGAACCTAACTTCAGGAAACGCATAAAGTCCAGATACGTGCGAGAAGAGCACCTTGTGGTGACCTAAGGTAGGAACGTATCTGCATGCATCTCATAGAGATGGGGTGAGCTCTTGAAGGCTTTGGAAAAAACCTGGATCTATGGAAGGAACCTAACTTCAGGAACCTCATAAAGTCCAGATACGTGCGACTAGAGCACCTGGTAGTGGCCAAAGGAAGGAACGTATCTGCGTATCAGAAACCACATAAAGTCCAGATACGTGTGAAAGGAGCACCTGGTAGCGACCAAAGGAAGGAAGGTATCAGCATGCATCTCATAGAGATGGGGTGAGCACTTGAAGGCTTTGGGAAGAACCTGGATCTACGGAAGGAACCTAACTTCAGGAACCTCATAAAGTCCAGATAAGTGCGAGAAGAGCACCTGGTAATGATCTAAGGAAGGAATGTATCTGCATGCATCTCATAGAGACTAATACCATTTTTAAGGTCTGCCTTCCTTTCCCGGCTGTTATTGATATTATATCACCTTAGTATTATTGCTGAAAATATTTTTGTCGAATAGCTCAGCTTTATGTGTCAAATACGCCAAGTGTGCCACGTTTCTAATTTTTTCATTTCTTCTTATATCTCAATTTACTGTTCATGAGCCGTAGATGCAACACTTTTCAGTAGGGGTTCCCCTGAGACCTGAATGTTATTTCAAGGGTTCCTCCATGTTAAAAGGGTTGAGAAAGGCTGGTCTACTGTATATTCATACCCATTTCACTGAATCTGATGCATCCACCTACATTTGATTTCCATCCTGTGCTTTATAGGGTGTCACTGCAGATGGTTTGTGTGTGTTTGCTATGGGAAAGGTCTGGCAAGCCAATTTAGCCGCATGGTCTGCAAAGGGACTGCCCTTGGAGATGGGCTCTGAATCATTTGTGTGTGCTTTGCATTTCAACGCTGATACTTCCGATGCCAGCAGTACTGCAGCCTGCAAATGGGAAACAAAGTCAGCATGTTGAACAGATGTACCCGCCGAAGTACGAAATCCCTCTTTCCTGACACAATATTCCATAGTGAGTGTGAGAAAGGAAAGAATGATGAATGTGAATGCTATATGTGAAAAGTCTCCATAGGAAGCCCTATGGGACACGATGGCAACACCAGAGCAAAACAAAGGAGCATAGGAGAGTGACAACCCTACAAGGTGGGAAAAATGTCCCTTACTTTAGTGGTCAGTGGGAAGAATGCTCTTCCCACTGACCACCAATGTAAGGGACTAGCTTCCCACTGACCACCAATGTAAGGGACTAGCTTCCCACTGACCACCAATGTAAGGGGCATTCTTCCCACTGACCACCAATGTAAGAAACATTCTTCCCAGTGACCACCAACGTAAGGTGCATTCTTCCCACTGATAAGCAATGTAAGGGACATTCTTCCCTTTGATCATCAATGTAAGGGGCATTCTTCTCACTGACCACCAATGTAAGGGGCATTCTTCTCACTGACCACCAATGTAAGGGGCATTTCTTCCCACTGACCCCCAATGTAAGGGACATTCTTCCCACTGACCACCAATGTAAGGGACATTCTTCCCACTGACCACCAATGTAAGGGACATTCTTCCCACTGATCACCAATGTAAGGGACATTCTTCCCACTGATCACCAATGTAAGGGACATTCTTCCCACTGATCACCAAAGTAAGGAGCATTCTTCCCAATGGCCAACAATGTAAGGGACATTCTTCCCACTGATCACCAATGTAAGGGGCATTCTTCCCACTGACCACCAATGTAAGGGACATTCTTCCCACTGACCCCCAATGTAAGGGGCACTCTTCCCACTGATCACCAATCTAAGGTACATCCGTCCCACTGACCACCGATGTAAGGGGCATTCTTCCCACTGATCACCAATCTAAGGGACATTCTTCCCACTGACCACCGATGTAAGGGGCATTCTTCCCACTGACCACCAATGTAAGGAACATTCTTCCCACTCATCCCCAATGTAAGGGACATTCTTCCCCACTGACCACCAATGTAAGGGACATTCTTCTCACTCATCACCAATGTAAGGGACATTCTTCCCACTGACCACCTATGTAAGGAACATTCTTCCCACTGACCACCAATGTAAGGAACATTCTTCCCACTGACCACCAATGTAAGGGACATTCTTCCCACTGACCACCTATGTAAGGAACATTCTTCCCACTGACCACCAATGTAAGGGACATTCTTCCCACTGATCACCAATATAAGGAGTATTTTACCCCATTGGCCAACAATGAATTGGTTTTAGCAGTGGCCTCAGGAGACCTGTAAATTATTTCAAGGATTCCTCTGGTGGTAAAATGGAAAGACCGATATAGAGAGAGTAACAGAGAGGGAGTGAAAAACTCTTGTATAAAGGTTTTGGATATGAATTCATTTGTTTGGAATACATGGTGTTCGTATTTTGTTTTAGGCTCCAGGAATGGCCTGGGCTTCCATTGGTCCAAGAGGTCCTGATGACACAAGGGATACTAACGTATATACCAGACTGGAATATTGAAGGACGTCTGACTGAATCAGGTCTTAGTGCTGTCCAGGTAATGAAATGTCATGTGGCTCAAATACTGTTGTCATTTAGAACATGGAGATTTTAAAGTGTATGTCAAGCCAAGACATTCTTTTTTTTAGTTTTGGATAAAATTTAAAAAAACACAACCACTGTTGGGTTTTTACTTCTATCCGGGGCTCTTTTCGAGAGCTTTTCTCCTTGCTTTCCATCTGGTGACGGTGGTTTTACCAGGCAGGAAATGAGGGAAAATATGAAGCCAATTCCTAACCTTCCTTTACTCTACAAAATATTTTAAATTAAATTAAAATGAAATTTAAATAAGTTTAAAATAGAGATAACATTTTTTATATCAAAATTAAACTAAATTTTACGTTTAAAAATTAAATTAAATTTGACATTTAAAAGTTTTAATTTAAGATTGAAAAATGTGGTCTATGTTGAAAAGTTACCTCTCAATTTTCTGTCCCAATCTATTCAAAACAAAAAAAAATGGCTGGAGTATACTTTAAAGCCCAACTCTGGCCTCTGTGCTCCCAGAGGATCTCTCATTCCTCTCATTCCTCCTCTGTGGTCCCTGCTAGCAGGTTTTTTTTTAAAACATTATTCTGATGTTTTTTGGCTGGATGAGCTGGGTCCAAGTTTTTCTTTGGCCTTATTATGCTGGTGGGGGCATTTACAGAAAAAAATATTAACTATCAATTTAAAGGGTGGAATATTAAAGCTTGTAGTGTTTAAAATTACACTCTCCCCCCAAAATGATGTGAAATAAGTGTCAGAGAATGGGGACTTTATCACCAAAGATGCAAGTTAACATTATATAATATACTGTATATAACATAAATGATGTAATGTAATATAATATATAATAATGTATGATACTTATTATTTAACCACTTCCTGACCGGACACTTTCACCCCCTTCCTGTCCAGGCCAATTTTCAGCTTTCAGCATTATCACACTTTGAATGACAATTGTGTGGTCATACAACACTGTACCTGAATTTTTTAGCATTTTTTTGAGACAGATAAAGCTTTATTTTAGTGGTATTTATTCCCCCCCCCCCCCCCCGGGATTTTTATTTTTTTTGCTATTTAAATGAAAAAGTACAAAAATTTTGAAAAAAAGTCTTTTTTTAAAAAAATTTTGCAAATAAATAATATTTCATCATAAATCTTGGCCAAAATTTATTCCGTTATCTTTTTAGTAAAAAAAAAAAAAAAACACAAATTAGTTTATAACCAAAAATTATAATTTTTCACAAAAAATTTCTACATTTTTGTTTTATTTTTTTATATTATTATTTATGTTTTTTTTTTTTTTTTTTACATACTGTCACCCTAGCAGTACAGTGCCACCATGGTGACACTGTACTACTTGTGGGGTGTGATGAAGATTTTTTTTTTTTTTTACACTGATTGCTTTTACACCCATAAAGGATGTAAAAGCAATCATTTCTCCTTCTCCCTGGCTGCATTCTTACAGCCATTGTGGGCTACTGTGTGAGCTGTGATTGGTCACAGTTTGTCACATGGTATAAGGCTGTTGTGAATAGCCTTGTACCATGTGACCTCAGTGATCATTCACAGATTTCACACGTAGTAAGCAATGATGTCACAAGTGACATCTTGCTTACTACTCTGCATATGATCACTGATTGGCCAATCAGTGATCACATGATCAGGACCTCACACAGAGGTGTCGTCCGACGATCGGTGTTCCACTGTGTCTGGAGGACATAGCGGGCACCGGATCGCAGTGCTGCGCGCTCCGAGGGAGCGCGCACAACTAGAAAATGCGGGTGTCGTTTATGAACGGCAACCCGCCCCTAGAGTGACACCGTCCTGCCGTTTAAAAACAGTAGGCGGATGGCAAGTGGTTAATATAATATAATATGGGGACTTTATCAGCAAATATACAAGTCAACATTATATGATGATAATGTGATATATGTGTATATATATATATATATATATATATATATACTGTATATAAAAAATAAATTATATAATGTAATATAATATTTAAACATATATGATATAATATAATGTAATATAATTAATATAATATAATATAGGGACTTTATCATCAAAAATACAAGTAAACATTTTATATATATATATATATATATATATATATATATATATATATAATACTGCATATAACATAAATGGTATAATGCAATATAATATATAACAATAGATGATATGATATAATATAATGTAATATATAATGATATATATAATATATACAGTATATATAGAATAATATAGTGTAATAAAATATAATATGGGGACTTATCACCAAAAATACAACTCAACATTATATAACATGTACATGTAATATATAATATACTCTATATACCGTAATATAAATTATATCAGGTAATATAAAATATAATAATATATGATAGAATTTAAATAAATATATAATATTATAATATATGATAATGTATATATAATATATAATATAAATATTATACTGTAATATAATATGGGGACTTTATCACCAAAGATACAAGTCAACATTGTATAATACGTATATAATATATAATACTATTTAATATTCTGGACGTACTAAACTGCATATTGGGATGATGGGATGATTGGATTATTGGCTGCAATACTCAACACCCTCATAATGTAATCTAATATATAACAATATATGATACTATTAATATAAATAATATAATAATATAATATCCATAATATAATAATAATTAATTCTGTAATATAATATAACATTATATAATAATATATATATATTATGTATTTTAAATAATATACAGTATTGTGATATAATATAATATACAATGTTTTATTAGAAGAAAATGGTGCCCCGCCGCACACAGGATCAGCAGACAATAAATTATATAGCTTTTTACAATGAAGCTCCGTATGGGCGAAATGCATTATGAATAGTAAGAATAAATGAAAAAATAATAAAAAATGGTATTTCCTTAATTTGATGTTTAGAATATTTATTGGCAAACTTAAAGTCCCCCTTTTCTAGCACATATTTTACAGGAAAAACATTAGCACTGGGTTTGCTTTGATATTAATTTGTTTTACATTTAATATCCGATAGGTACGTGTTGCCTTTCAGATATGGTATTTACCTTTTAGAGCACATTAGTATATACTGTAGGTATATTGCTACTTTCCTTCTCACAAAGTGGTCATTTAGCTTGTTTGTGCATAGTGATTTATGGTCACTGGCAACATGATAATGGTCATAATGGAATAATTTCTGTGGAATACATGATCATATAATCAGCTGTACACCCTACAACGGTAATAACACATAATGGCTCTTTGGAGGGTTTTGTAGGCTGAATGTCACTCTGCTTGCTGGAGATTAATAGTTCTACCAAGAGAATGAAACATTGAAGTGCTGCTGAGAACATCGTCTGTCGTTAGTCCAGGCATCTGTTGCTATGTGGATGCCCACAATAGATCTTTGACTTCCAGCAACCTTGCAATAAGACGAGTGTCCACAGTTGTCTACAGAGAAGTAATAAGTCTACATTTTAAAGGGTAGCATAGGGACAATTTTGTGAGAAAAACACTAAACTTAGACAAGTTTAAAATTTACCATTTAAAAGAAAAGTATGTCCAAAGCGTTTTGTAGGTCACAGGGGTGCCCTTTTGCTCTACTGTGACCCAGAGTCAGCTGACAGTGGACTATTGCCTACTGACAGGACAGAGCACCAGACTTTGGAAAGATCCCAACAATATTGCTGGGATCATCAGTAAATGAGCTTTAATACAAGACATCACTGACCTCTGTAGCCACATACGTTGTGGAGCAATTCATTCTTAAAGTTCACAGCAGAGGTTCCCCAAGCTCCTTTCCCAGCAGCTCACTTCAATCTGATTGCCCTTCAGAACTTCTCTGTTTACATTATGTGTGGAAGGCTGCTGAGTCACTGCTGGGAGGAGTAGCTAAGCTGATGGAAAGAGGGAGCAGGAGGGGCTGAGCTACTCAGATACTGCTGGGAGGGGGAGTAGGCTGAGCTAAGCTATTGAGTTACTTCTGGGAAGGAGGAGCTGACCTGCTGAGTCACTCTTGAGAGGGGAAGCAGGTGAGCTGAGCTGTTGAGACACTGCTGGGATGGGAAGTAGGCTGAGCTAAGCCCCTGAGTTACTTCTGGGAAGGAGGAGCTGAGCTGCTGAGTCACTTTTGAGAAGGGAAGCAGGGTGAGATGAGCTGCTGAGACACTGCTGGGATGGGAAGTAGGCTGAGCTAAGCTATTGAGTTACTTCTGGGAAGGAAGAGCTGAGCTGCTGAGTCACTCTTGAGAGGGGAAGCAGAGTGAGATGAGCTGCTGAGATACTGCTGGGAGGGGGAGTAGGCTGAGCTAAGCCTGAGTTACTTCTGGGAAGGAGGAGCTGAGGTGTTGAGTCACTCTTGAGAGGGCAAGCAGGGTGAGCTGAGCTGCTGAGATACTGCTGGGAGGGGGAGTAGGCTGAGCTAAGCTCCTGAGTTACTTCTGGGAAGGAGGACCTGAGGTGTTGAGTTGCTCTTGAGAGGGGAAGCAGGGTGAGCTGAGCTGCTGAGATACTGCTGGGATGGGGAGTAGGCTGAGCTAAGCTCCTGAGTTACTTCTGGGAAGGAAGAGCTGAGCTGCTGAGTCACTCTTGAGAGGGGAAGCAGGGTGAGATGAGCTGCTGA